TTTCTTCCTCAACAGAGTACATTGGCTGACCTTAATGCAATTAATTAGGGCTTAATCAACTTCTGGTGGCTCAGCACAGCACACAGTGATTCCTGCCTTTCCAGGAGGGTTTATAAGAGGTTAAAGCAGTAAAGGGGAGGGTGTGCTGTTGTTTGTGGGTTTTGTGAGGCTGTGCTGATAAGTAGAGTTGAGTTTAGTCAGGTATTGGGGTAGAATTTGTGACCTCCCAGGCTGGGCCTATTGCTGGGCATTCTGGTAAAGGCAGGGGAGAGGTGAGCTGGACTCAAAAGCCGTGTCTGAAGTGATGCTTCTGCACAGAAGTGCTTGTTGCTTGGTCTTAGCATCACACTGAGCTCTGGGATGGCTTGTGGTGGGACTGTGGCTGGGTTATGCATTCAGCAGCTGCTGCTGGGTGGCTCTTAGGTTTGCACCCAGAGTGCTGGAGGTGATGTGTAGGGAGCCCCTTCACCTCCTTGAGCAGCTGTCAGCCTTGGAGACAAGAAGCTGTTGGTCACTGACTGTTCCTGAGCAAGAGGGAGGCTCCTTCCCCTCCCTGCCCAGCAGCACTTAAAAATTAATAATTCTCATTAATATAACAGAATGTCCCCAGCACCCTTGCCATGGGCCTCTGGCTCTGCATCCTGTGGCTCTTCTTGGTTTGCCTGCTGGGTGCCCCAAAAGCTTTTGGAGCCCCTAGAAAGGGGATTAGACACAGATGTCCAGCATAAAGACTTATTTGCCCACCTTGTGTTTCCAAGCCAGCAGGCACCTGTTGGCATAGCTGGTGATGGGGTGCCCTGTCCTTGGGCCGCTGGGGATGAAGTGACTCAGCCTTGGCCTTGCAGAAAGCTCCTGGCAGGGGTGGTGGCCATGTGCAAGTGGTGGCATGTCCTGGAGTCAGCTGTGGTGATGGTGGTTGAAACCACAGCTGTGTATCCTCACATCCTGCATGCTTTGCATCCTCTCTGTGCCATCATCCCACAGTGGCATGTCCCTCCCTCTGCTGCTGTTTCCTCAGGTTCCTATGTCCCCGACTGTGCCACCAAGCCCCCTCGTGCAGGCTGCCCAGTGCTGGGAATGGGATGTGGCAGCAAGAGCTGTGCCAGGCACTGTTACTGCCTTGTTTGCTTCAGTGCCAATTCATTAATATCAAAAAGCTAATTAGGATTCCATGGCCCTTCCCACCCTGTCCTCTCCTTTGGAGGCTGGAGGATACTTGTCTGCAGGATTTTGCTGCGGCCCTGTGTTCAAAGAAGTCAGCTCTGGTCTGTCCCATCCCGGTGGTTTGTGTCCCTCTCTCTGTTCCTGGTTAATCCACGTGGCTAAAGCCCCTTGAAGCCTGGCAAATGGGAAGTGATATTTTGCCAATAATCCCTCTGCTCTCCTGGGCAGGCTTCTCATATTACAGGTTTATTAAAAAAAACAAAACCCAGGCAGCAATAACTGTGGCCCCAGGGAGAGCCCAAGCACAGATTGTTCCTGGTCAAGCCCCACCTAACAGGAGAGCCCAGGCAGAGGCACTGCAGGCCCAGCCCTGTCTCATGGAGCATCTCTAGGCAGAGCCCAGCCCCTCTTGCAAGCACAGAAGGAGCGAGCCAAAATCCTCTTTCTCTCTAGGGAACAAGCAGGATTCCCATGAGTCACAGACTAAATCCAATTTCCCCCCTCAAAGGCTGTGGGATAAACTCTGCTTTTGCTCACCAGGGATCCCCAGTCCAGTGCCAGCACCTCCTGGTGCATGTTCCCCACGGCTGGGCAGGAGCAGCTCCTGCACTGGCATTTTGCTGGCACAGGACAGAGCCAGCACCACCTGCCTGGCACCGACTGGGACAAACACAGGCTCTGCTGCTGATTTCTGTCCTTGGCTTTGCAAAGCTTTTGAGGAAACTTGCCCAGAATTAGGGATGCTGTTTGCTGTTTCTTCCAGAACAGGGTAGTGATGTTCTTCCATCCTTTCCCAAAGTCTTGCGTCCTTGAGGATGGGTTTTCCCATGGGAAATTCAAACCACTAATATGTGTAGCTAGGGGTGGTTTTTTTTTTTGCTTTTTCCTGCAAAAAATACCAACTTTGCTTCAAGGAATCTCACTTCAGCTCGAAATATTTCATTGCATGGACTGGGGGTTTCCTTCTGGTTTTAAGTCAACATTTCCACTCAAAATGTCACTCAGGGAAAGCTGGTTTTTTTTACAGCAAAAGTCTGTGATGACATTTTAAGTGGAGAAGAAAATTACTGCTTCGTTTCAAAATGCCAACTTTGAGTGGGGTGGGCTTAGAATTTTGGTTTGTTTTTTTTTCGTTCCAGTGTTTCCCAGGAGAAAAGCAAAATGGTTTCATTAGACTCGAGTAACTGTTGCCCCCCCATCATCTCCAAAATAAATCTTTTTTTTTTTTTTTTTTTTTTTTTTTTTTTTTTTTTTTTTTTTTAACCTGTTTGCATTTTTGTAGCAGAGAAACTTTTGCCATGAGAAGTTGTGCTCCTGTGGGATGCTGCCTTGAGAGGGGACAGCCCTGCTGCATCCAAACCTGAGCCCTCTATGGCAAATTCTCTGCCACCAAACTCCAGTGAGGACCTGTGGGAGAGACTATACTGCTGCTGGCTGGCCTGGGTTGCTGTGGGAAGGATTAACAGCACATCCAGGTTTTGAAGCTCTCCTCTTCCTGCTTTCCCTCTGTCTTGCGCTCCTGCTTTTATTTCATACAGCTCTCCTCGAAAATCGCTTGTTCTACATTAGGCTAGAGACTGGAGTTATCTTCCTTTTATTTATTAGGGTAATTATACCTAATGATTCACATGCTCGGGGAGAGTAATTGCTCCCAAATACAGCGCTGCCAGTGCTCTTACCCAGCCGGGGTGCAGTGATTCACAAACACATCTTTTCCTACAATTCATCAGCTGATGATCCCGTAATTGCTGACTTGGTTTGGAGCACTAAGGAGCGGTCGGGACCCGGCGCTGCCCTCGGGGTGTTCCGTGGTCCCCTGGGAGCGTCTCCTCCCTGCCACCTGATGCCCGGCACCGTTCGCTTCCTGTGGGGCTTTTGCTGGGGATTTCAGTTGGGCCAAGCCCCTCAAACTGTGGGATCTGTGCTTCTGAAAGAGTCACGGTGCCTCATCTGCTAAATTCCGTGGCACAGCCTGGCCAAGGGAAAGCCTCCCTTGGCAGTGGGAAATGATCTCTCCATCATCCCAAAAAGTGGCAGAGATGTGGTTTTATGCTCACCTCTTCACAGCTCTTGGAGAAAATGGGTGAGAGCCTTGGAAATACGGATGTGGAAAGCCAACCCCCCCAGGTTTTGCATTGAAACAAAGCTTCTGTGTGGATGGATTCCCCCTTCCTTGGGGTCTGGCAGCCCCCTGCCTGCACTGCCCCAGGAGGGGAGAGCCTTGCCTCAGCACTCCTGCCCATCCACCATTCAGCGTGGGCAGGGACATCCCACGAGGCATGATGTGCAGAGTCCACCCTTCTGCACAGCTCCAGCCCCTGGAGAAACCTGGGCACTGGGGGAGGAGGAAGGATTCTGGGAGTGTTTTGAAGAATGTTTATGTTCCCAGTGCTATCCTGTGGCATGGAAAGGCAGCCTGAGGCTTGAAATTCCTCCTGCTGGCTTAAGGGGACTCTGGGATGATGGCTCTGGGGTGGCCCAGCCCCTCTGGAGCTGCTTAAGACAACGCTATAGTGATTAGCTGGAGGCTGCTGCTTGGCTGTACTGTCTTGGGCCACTAAAAAGTTTTTTGGTACTGTGTGGCAACCAGAGAGTGTATTGGTACTTTGTTGGGGGGGGAGTTTGTTGTTTGGTTTTTTTTTTCTGAGGGGGAGGGGGCAGGGTTGATGTGGGTTTTTTATTTGTTTGGTTTTTTTTTTAGCTAGAAGACCCTTCCTTCCTCAGTCTGGGCTGCACTGCATGAGCCTGCACCCACCACCCATTCTCTCCTGCCCCAGGCACTGCTCCAGCTCTTCCATCCTGAGGATGCCAGAATCGCTGCTGGGATGTGAGCAGAAAGGCAGGAGGAGAGGAGGTGGCACAAACAGCCCTTTCTGCTGGCCACCACTTGGCTTCATCCCCAGCACTGCTTGGGTGGGCTCCCAGGGGAGCCTGCCCTGGTTGCCCCCCACCCCCAAACATGGCGTTGTGCCAGTGCTGCTCTGGAGTGTTCACTGGAGGAACAGCTCCCTGCTTTCCTTCCACCCACATCCACCTCCTTAGAGGAGGATCCACTTCTTCACGCTAGTGCCTGGCCCCCTGTCAAGAGCTCCTGCAGGCAGCCAGGAGCTGCTCCTAATGGGCTGCCAGGGGATTTGGGATCTGACAGCTGGGTGCTGACAGCTCCCTGCAACTGCTCGCTCCAGCTGCTGGGCCCTCCTCTCCCTGGTCAGATGGAGAAGGATGCTCTGATGTCCACAGGGAGGAGGCTGGCTCCTTTTTCTCCCTTCACCAGGTGTTTGTGATGGTGCTGGAGGGTTGTGGTACCCACTGCCTCGGTGGGGCTGTAAAGCCTTGGGGGACAATGATGGTACAAACAGAGGGATCCCAGGCTGGAGGAGCTCTTGCAGGGTGATGCTCCCAGATGGGCACTGTGAGAGGGGAGGAGATCTGGGTGTAGCACAGAGCAAGTCTTGTTGCAGCTCCTAGCAGGGAGTTGGGATGGGAGGCCCTTGTTGGCTGGGAGCAAGTGCTGACACCTCCAGGGGCTCCCTCTGCAGCGGCTCTGGGGCCTCCCAAGCTTTCTCCTGGCTGACACATTGCCTCTCTTCTCTGTTTGATGCAGGGCTCCTGTGTCTCCCCACAGACCCCACACAGGGGCTGGTGGGAATCCTGGGGGCTCCCTGGGGTCCGGCTCCATCCCAGCGGGGCCGTGGCAGCCCAGGCAGAGGGACTGTCCCGTCGTCCTCCAGCATGGAGCATCTCCCAGCCTGCCGTCTTGTATGGCTTTTTATTCCTATGTGATTATACATCCCACTTCATATAGGGATTGAAGCCGTGCAGTACGCCGGGGTCCTACGGCAGAGAGAGCCCCTGTGCCACGGGAGCCGGCCTCGGAGGAGCCACCAGAGCTGACCCCAGGGTGCTGGAGGAGGATTGCTGGCCTCAGCCTGAACTCCATCCTGCATCCCAGGCTCCCCAGCCCTCTTGGGATGCAGGTGAGGGGTGCCAAGCTGCTTTGGGGTGAGGCCAGCACAAGCCCACTTCTTGCATTGCGCCCCCTTGCATGGGTGGGCCTGGTTCTGCACCACATCTGCTGTGGAGAGCCCCAGTGACTGCACTGGTGGGCTCATCCCTGGGGAATCTGCTGCTTTGGTTTTGTCCCCGACTGTCCTGGGATATGCAGCATCTATGTGCAGACACTGCCAGCAGCACAGGGGAGGAGAAAGAGGAAGAGGAGGAAAAAGATGCTGAGGAATGGCCATGACAGCAAGGGCTGCCCCAGCCACGATGCTCTTCAAGGTTTCTCAAGAGGCCTCAGCCACTCTTTCAAGGTTTGTGTTATATCTGTCACATTAGCGAAAATGGTGAAAATTGTGGCTTGTGGAGGAGATGAAAGGCAGCCCCTTGCAATTCCTCCATAAAGGAAGGGCCCCATTAACACCTAGTGAATTATTGGCCATTAATCAGGCTCTGTGCAAAATAAAACCATCCACATTTATCATTATTGGATCCTTAATGAAGTGATAATGGGAATGCTGGGGAGCTGTGATATTAATGTCTTCTAAGAGGCAAGAGCAGAGCCAAGGGCGGCAGCCAAGATTTTTAATTTACTGCCAGAAGCTCGTGCTGTTAATAACGCTGTTACTTCTCCCGGCCGTTTGCACTGTTTGGCTACGAGCTGCCGACTTAGGAGAGCAAATCAACCCTGAACATACCCAGACTTCGTTCACCTGCTCCCCACACAGCATCTGAGCACGTTTTTCCCACCCACTGTCCCAGTGTCCCCTGCCCATGTGTAGGGATATGGCTGGGGAGCTGCTGGCTGTCTTCACCCACCTGACTCCTTCCTGAAGGCTGGCTGATGTAGAAAGTTTTGTTTTTCTGATAAAAAGAGAAGGGACTGTGAGTGTCAAGCCTCAGTGTCTCTTACTGTCCTCACTCTCTCTGTGACTTTTCTCCTTAGGCACAGGCTCCCCAGAACCAGGGGGGCACAGAGCTGCTCCCAGCACAGCCCACACACTGGGGGTGCTCAGTGTGACTGCAGCCACACTCTGGCATCTTCATTTGCACAGCTTTACTCCCATGAGGCCAATATCCCATCCAGGACAGCATGGACAAGCTGCAGAGCCCTGCTCAGCTCTGGTGACTCACTTGAGTTCACAATGGGAAAGTCATTGCTCCTGCCAAGCCCTGCCAGCCCAGAGGCAAATCATTACCAGGCAGGTAAGCAATGTTCTCATGTCTTAAGATTTGTGTAATCTCACAAATCCTGCTAAACCTTGCCAGTGTGACCCAAAGGTATGTTGGCTCATGCATAGGGCCTTTTGACCTTTTGTGAAGGGACTGCAGGTCAGAAGGAGCTGGCCTTGGGCTGGAGTAATAGCAGACAATTCCCTGCTGAGCACTGTCCCGAGGAATATGATGCTTTATCTGTAAGGGCTGAGCACACTCCAGTGCTCCTTTTGTCCCTCGGTAGAAGTTGCACAAGGTCCACCAAAGCAAGCCCTTGGAAATGGAGCTTTGAGTTATCCAGGAAGAAGCAACATAGAAGTACTTCTGTAGCCTGGGTGTTCTTGCTGAACCTCCCGTGGCCTGTTATCTCCTCATTAGGAAAGAAAGGACAAGAACAAAAATCCATATATGGCAGCCAAGCAAAGGTAGATGGGAAATGCACTTCAAACAGCTCCATCCTTTCAACAAACCTTTTATTAGACTTCTCTCCTCCCAACACACACTTTTTAATCATTATGAAAAGCCACCATTCAGGAAGCAAGGACACTGCTCGGGTACCTGGAGTAGGCATTTCCCAGGAGAAGCCAGCCTGCACTAGCCCAAATTCCTCTGCAATTGACTGGGCAGCAGCACAAGCAGCAGCTCGGAGTTCAGGGTGGTGCTCAGCCAAGTGGCAGAGCTGTGGGCAGGGGGTTGTGGTGGCCCTGTGGCAGTGTGCCCGGGCTGGCACACAGGACCCTGCTGAAGTGACCCTTCTGCCAGGCAGCCCAGCCTGAAAGCGGAGTCACTCTGCATTCTGCTGGAGCGGAATGGCCCAGGGAGCACTGGGCAGGCTCTGGAGCCAGCTTTGCCCAGCTGTCCTGGCTGCAGCCCGCACTTGTGGCTGTATTGCTGCCCGTGTTAGTGCCCCGTGGAGCTGCCCTGCTGGGCACGGAGCAGGCGACCTGCCAGCGACCTCTGGAGAGAAACACACGGCACAAAGCGGCTTCTCCTGCACAACCACCCCCTGACATTACAGGGGCACAGCGAGCTCTATAACGCTTGGCAGATTTTCCCCAGCAGATCTCGGAGCTGTTTGCCACTGTGAGCAAGTTCAGGCATGCTACAAAAGACCTTCAGACTCTGAGGACAAATGAGATGCGTGGATAGGTTTAAACCACTGGGCAAGACTGGGGTTTTGAAATTCCCAGGGCTGTGCCTTATTCTGAGCCTGGGCTGTAGCCCAGACAGTCCAGCTGCCAGCCTGGCATTGACACCAGGCCCCACGATGTTCCTGCTGATATCCCCACTTGTTAGATACTGGCTTCAAAACCAAAATAGGAGGTTTCGCATCCTCCTCAAAACACCACCCTCTGATGCACCTTGAAGTGGGGCGCAGAACGACTGACTGTTCAGTGAGACACCACAGGGTGTTGGCACAACGGTGTATTTATGTCACGAGATGAGATCAGCCACACGGAGTAGGTCGGTCTGTCTGGAAAGAGTCTGAGTCAAGCGTGTCCTATTACATTAGAGCTGGATTTTCAAAGGAGCTCAGCTCCCACTTAGGCTCTGTAACAAACAGACGGATATTCAAAAGGAGTTGGACGTGCTGGGTCATACTGGCTGCTGAGCTAAAGCCCTTTGAATATCCAGCCAAACCGTCAGTGTGCCTGTTGCTGCAGGCAAAGCCCTCCTGAAATCTAGACCCACTCCGAGCTCCATGTCCTGGGAAACCAAGCTCATCTCTGCTCTCCCACATATCACACTGCAGTAGGTGACAAAAACGTGATTACTACTGTGTCCTCGTGCATGTGGGGAGAGCAGCTCCCTGTCAGAGCACAGCTCTGGCAGATTTGCCCTTTGATCAGCTCAGCATTGTGGGTCAGGAGAGCTGAGCATGAAGGTTTCCTTGTCTTTTGTTCTGTGGAATTAGCAGAGTTAATCAGAATGACAGCAACTTCTGCCTCAGTGCAGAGGAAAGGTCAGTGGCTCAGGCTGGATGCACGAGTTTTCTAGACAGTTGGAAAACAACACCATGAAAGCTCATAGCATACTTGCTGCTGGCACGGAGGTCAACAGGGACCAGCAGGGAAGATGTTAGTGTGGAGGGAAGGGGGCTGGAGGAAGACTCCACACAGCTGGCTTGTCACTGGACTTCATTCATCCCCATCCTTACACTTTACAGTGAAGGTATGTCATCCTCTTTATCACTGTGCACTGCTTGTGCCACCCAGCCAGTATCACTCTCTGCCAATGTGCTTCTTAGCCATGCTCCTGGGTGTTCATCCTGCTGGGCTTGTGGTCTCTGTCACCTCAGTACGCTGCTGTGGGAAGAACTGTAGGGCACTGTGCTGGCATGTGGAGCAGGTGCTGGGTGTCCCCTTCCTACCACATCCCCCAGCAGCTCCATGCTTCAGGTGAGCAGGCCTTGCTGTTACTGCTTTTACACCCTTCAGTCGCTGTAATGGGCTCCAGTGGACCCCTAAAACGCCACTGCTGAGCTGCTCTTGAGCTCTGGGGGCACTGGAAGTGCAACAGTGCAGCAAGGGCTCTCCATGGTAGCCCTGCCATGGCCTCAACTTCCCCTTAAATTAACTATAGTTGAAGCATTCACAAGCTTTAAATCCAGTTTCCTTATCTGTAATATGACCTCTTACCTTCCTCTGATCCTCCCAATTACAAGTCTTGTTTTTGCTGTGGATGTCCACTCATGTGTCTAATTAGTGGATTCTTTCTGTCAAAGACACTAGCAGCCTCAACAGTGAGCCCTAATTTAAATAGTTTGCATTTGTCCACAGCATTGGTCCTTTAATTTACTCCTGCTCCTAATTAAGTGTATTTGGGTATCTGCAGAGGGAGCTCTCATGATCTCTCCATGGCTCTAATTAAAATGGCCTGGATGTCCATGACATTGGTGCCTGTCAAGCCTGTCACCAGGAGGTGATGCCCACCTTGGAACTGGCTGAAGAACGTGTAGGAGTCATTGTTCCTGAGAAAGGCCTCCACATCCAGACCCTCCTGAAGTGCCTCAGCCACCAGCTCTGGGCTGCAGAAGGCTCCTGCTGCCTCTGTTGGCCCGTCCTGCCCATCTGTTCCCCCACTGAGGAAGAGGATCTCACACCTCCCCTGGGGGCTGCTGGCTCCTGTGCCCTGAGCCTTGTGCAGCCCCAGCCCCACACGCAGAGCCAGCTCCTGGTTTCTCCCTCCCTTGCCGGTTCCTTGGAGCTGGACTGTGGTTTCTCCACCAGCCAGGATGCAGACTGGTCTGTCGGGCCCTAATCCTCGCAGTACCTGTAGAAACTCATCCAGGTGCAAACCTGGGATCTGTAGCTCTGCTGCCAGCTGCAGGAGATTCCCTCTCAGCTCGTCACCCAGGGGCCTTTCTCCAAGGCTGGTGAAGCCCAGGCAGACCAGCTGGATCAGCTGGCAGTACAGTGTGGCAACACGGCCCACTTCCCCATGGACTGCTGCACTCAGGACCAGAGCAGCATAGCCCAGGCCCTCAGCCTGGCGCCTGGCCTCTTCCAAAGCCAGCGTGTTGGACCCAAGGATGATGTTGGAAACATGGGAGTAGTTTTCCAGAGCAGTGGGCTTGGTGGGAGAGCTGGAGAGGACCATTTCCACTGACTTGGGCAGGTTGTGCAGCAGGTTGTATTTGGTGAGTATGTGAAGGCAGTCTTGGACACTGTGGGAGCTGGCAGCAGTGGGCCCACTCGCTATGATGTCCAGGGGGTCACCTATCACATCAGACAGAATGAGACTCACCACCTATGGAAAGAAATGCCCACAGATTGTTGCAGGAGGCAAAGACAGGTGACCACAAAAGAGCCCTGGCATAAGCACTGCTCTGAGTGTCATCCCCACATCAAAGCAGATGGAAGCAGGGTAGGTCTTCGCCCATTTTTGTTTTATGGACCTGTGAGTGTCACCTTGCCCTTCTCAAACCCACAGATTTACAGTCCCCTTTGAAGTTGGACTACCGTGTTGGAAGATGTAACCTGTGACACTGCACTTGTCAGGCCCTAGTGTGGGTTCAGCAATGGCACATGCTGAGAACAGCCCCCAGGAGAGCCAAGGGTCAAAGCCAGCCTTGAAAGCACTGTGCTGAAGCACCAACACTTGGAAGTGTCTGCTGGGTGTGGGCTGGGGTCTGCAGAGTGGCATGATGGGATGGCTGATGTTTCTCAGGTCTGAATTCCCACCCTCCCAGCTCTGTCTCCCTGAGAGTTTCAGTCCAAAGTCAAATCTCAGCTGGAGAGTCCCAAAACAGTGTGCAAAGTTGTTCACTCAGTATGGAAAAAAACCTGGCAAGTTGATTAAACCTCTGTTTTGAGGACAGAAGGGTGATCTCTGGGCAAACAGGGGCTTTCCCTTGGTTACCTGTGCAGGATGTGCCAGCTGGGCCAGCCCTCCACCCTTCAGCACAGACAGAGTCTTCCGGACAATGTTCAGCTCCTGTATGGCAGCTCCTCGGGAAGCCAACATCTTTGTGAGTTTCTCCTTTTCCTCGAGGAGGATGGGAGGGATGGGAGCAGGCAGTAGGGCTGATCCACCCCCTAGGACACAGAAGAGATGACAAGGACATCAGGATAGCAGGAAAAGGAGGACAAAGGAGAGCAAGGCTTTAGCCTTTTCTCTTCACTCACCAGTGTCTGGAGAGAAGGCAGAGGTGACTGGGGACCTAAGCTAACATCTCTGGAGAATTCAGTCATCTTCAACAGTGGGTTTTAATCACTTCTGTCCTGCACTCTGCAGTGAGCTACACTTCACCCAGGTAGTGTGAGCCTGGCTGGATGGGGGCACCACAAGCCTGCAGTGTGGTGGGAATGACAGAAGAGGGACAGCAATTACCCTCACTTCTGCACTGGGCTACAGCTGGGTCCTCACTTTGATATTCAAGGGTTACCTGGGTGGCTGAGCAGGGAGCACAGCCTCCAAGGCTCACACAGCAGCCAGTGCTGTGCACATGGGGACACTGCCTGCTTTGGTGGCTCCATTTATTCAGGACAGTGTGCAAAAACACTGGCTAGGGATGCAGCAAGATTGGAAACTGCTGAACTGCACTCATCTGAGCCTGTGAAGAAAGAAAAGTGGGGACAGTAATGCAAAGGACAAAGCACACTCTGAGTCCAGGGTGATAGCTTCACTGATGGGAACTCTGGCTGATAAAAGCAGGCATTGGAAATGAGGAAAAGAAGGCAAGGTTCCAAATGAAAAGTGGAATGGATGGAAAATACATTGGAGAAAAGAGCAAGGTCTGTGCAGAGTGAACGTGCACAGAAGTACAGCTGAATGCTACTGTCACAATGCAAAGCCTGCTCAGAGGTTTGAGACAAATCAGCATCAATAAAACATGATGAGCAAGAAAAACAAATGCAAATGCCTGTGTTTCAGTCAATAGCCAGGGATCTAGCTGAGAGGCAGGAGCAGTTGGGGACCGGCTGCTGTGTGGGAGTGCACATGCATAGGGAGCCACAGCCACAGGGAGATCCTGTACAGGCTCCCTGAAGGGCTGAGGAGTCTCTTGGAGATCCCTGTAGCCAAAAGACAGGAGGAAGCCCAGGGGAATCCCCAGAAAACACAGCTAGCTTCCAGTCACTTGGGTGTTTGCCTAATGGCACTGCTCTCCATACTGGAGCAGGCTTCAGCATCCACAGAGGAATAAACACTGAGCAGAGGAGCCCAAGGCCTTTCTGCAGAGCTGCTCCAAGCCCCTGCACGCTTTTGCCCTGTGACATCCATTGAGCTCAGGATAAGGTGATGTCACCGCATCCCTCTGTAAATCTTCTTACACAGCCCTAGATCTGGGGACAGCCGGCCACCAGCCAGGCCCTGGGGGTGTGCAGGGCTGCCCCTGCAAGGCATGCAGCTTACTGTGTGGTACCTGGAGGCCTCATTTCCACTAGCTTGGAAGGAGCCAAGCCCTGGGAAAGGTCAGTCCCAGATCTCAGCTTTCAGACTCACACTCCTGCACAAATACAGAGCATGTAAGTCTCCTGTGTGCTTGCTTCTTTAAGTTTGCATCCCCAAATGTAAGGAGGGGGCAGGAAGAAAGTGACTCCTTGCCAAGAGGTGAGAACAGCTGCCAGGTTGTGCCCAGAGGTGCCACTTCACTGTGGTGGCACAACTGCAGGACCCAGCCTGTGCAGCTCAGCCTCTTTCCAGTGCTGGGAGGCAGTGTGTCCACTGTAGCAGCAGGAAGCCCTGTGTTCTCCCTTGCTGCATGCCTGGAGAAAGAATGGCAGAAGGGAGAAGAAAAATCAGAGGTGCAGTGTCCATGCTGAAGGGGCTGGCACAGCACAGCACTTGCTGCATGGTCAGGGGTGGGCAGGCAGCTGGGGACTCTCAGCAGATCCCATTCCTTGGGATCTCCACACTACCTGAGATGAGCACAAGGAGCAGATCGTCTGCAGTCAGACCCTCAGCCAGCTCCTGGATGGCAACTGCTCCCTTCAGAGCCTCTGCATCTGGGAGGTTGTTCTTGGCACCTTCGATGACCTGGATTTTGCTGTGTGGCTTTAGCAGCATCTCCCTGGTGAGGTAAGAGAGGCAATTACACCACGGATCTGTGCACCCACACAGGCAGCCAGGCTGTCACCCGCAGGTGCCTGGTGTACCAGTGGCATACAGTGAGTGACCAGGACAGGCACACGGCCTTTGCTGAATGTCTCTTCCCCACAGCCAGAGAGGCAGCACATCCAGCACAAGAGGTGGGCTGCAGCACTGGTGTCACTGGGATGTGATGGTGGTTGAAGATGAGAGCAGTGGGGTGGATGGGGTGGGCAACAAAGCAAGGGCAGCTCAAAAGGACTTAAGGTGTTCCCAGCAACATCCCACAGAGGGAAAATCTGGCAGCCTACACCCCTCCTTTCTGCTCCCCAAAATTGTCCAGAAACAGTCCTTACTGCATTCCCGCTCGCTGCAGGCTCTCCTGGATCCCCAACGGCACATTGATAATCCCCCGAGTGAGGTGTTCTCCCAGGATCTCTTCTGCTGCTGCAGCCATTCCCAGCACAGCTTTTCCGAAACCCACCAGGTACAGGTCCCTCTTCACTGGAAAGGCCTGGCCCCTCACCAGCAGCTGAGGGCACCCGTCTCCCTGAAGCTTCAGAGCCCTTTTCAGCATGGGAGCTGGGCGGACGGTGCCCAGAGCGCCACGGAACAGGGACAGTGCGTGCTCGTGGAGGGACATGGTGCGCAGGCTGCCAGGGCTCAGCCACTCTCCGTTGTGGGGTGGCCTTCTGCACTCTCTGCCAGCACTGGCAAGGCCTCAAGGGCTGAAACAGCCAGCAGCCTCCAACCTGCAAGGGAAAGTGAACCTTTTTGCTAGTAGAAGAGACAGGGCTGTCACAGAAAGAACAGAGGTCAAAACATGAACCGTGGAACTCTAGCTCCTGTTTCCCCTAGATTAAGGTGCCATACAAGCAGCATTTTCTAACTTTTCCCCAGGCAGGAGGAAGGGAAGGACAGTGTCACATTCAAACTGTCAGCTTGTGATTCCCCAGCAATCTCATCACCTCCTGCAGGGAAGGTGAGCTCTGCCAGCCAGCTTCTCCATCACTGTAGACTTGCCACTGGCAAGCCATCATTTCTATTTGCTTAGCGTTTGACACCTTTCCAAACTGTGGAAGCTGCTCTCTGTCCTGGAGAGAGCAGGGCATCTGGGTGGAACAGCTTTTCACTACATTAACTCCCTTCCCCATGCTAGCCAAATGCTGATCTCATCCTCTGGCTGTGCATTGCCCCATGTGTCCCTGCAGCATCAGACACAGGCCGAGGAGAAACAACAGCCTTGCTGGCTGCCTCATGCCTTGCTGCTGGTGGCCACAGAGAGACCAGTAATAACGTTTCCTCACCAAACAGCAAATTAACAAAAGGCTTAATTTACCTTTCTTTTATTCCTCGTTATCCATTAAAATCACATTTAGACCCCAAATAAACTTCATATCCAGGCAAAGTTGCCAGCTGTCTGTGAAAGCCCATTTGAGCTGCTCTCCACTGAGCATTAGCATTATCTGCAACAGATCTGTGCATGGACTGAAAGATCTCAGCTGCTCAAGGGCAGATACTTGTCTTAACAGAGGAAAGGTGGCCCCTGCCAGCACACACACGTCTATTCCCTCCCAGCATTTCTCCTTCCTTCTGTTAACTGGCAGCAAGTTCACTGCTGGTTTCTGAGGATCAAAGATCCTTGTGATCTGCATCTCTCCAGCTTATGGCATTTAAGGCAGGGTGCCAGGAGGCTGAAGCAGCCAGGGCAACACGCTTGATCACAGACCCATTGAAATTCCCTGAGAGAGAGTTAATCCTCTCTCAAGTATGTGGATGTGTTTAGTGCAAGGGCTTCTTTTAGGAGAGCTCAGGAGTCCAGAGGTCTCTTTGTTCTGACACTCCCTAGCATTGCAAGGTGTTAATCATTAAGCTGGACAAGCTTTTCAACAGCTCCTCTGGGTCTAAATCTGCCTTATTTTCCTGCAGGGACCCAAAAGATCTACACAAAAAAACCCCAAAAAACCTCCCAAGCAATGAAAATTGGGCAAAACACTGAAATCTTGGGACAAGGGACTTGTAGGTAAGGCTATACAGAGAATCAAAAGTTTGTCAGAGAAAGAACCCCAAGAATCACTGAAGTGGGAAAAGACCCTTAAGAACAAAGCTAAAAGTAAGTGATTAATTGCTCAGGAGAAAAAATTTTAAAGCCAAGGCAGATTAACTATTTATGTGTACTCCCTTTAGGAGCTGGTCAGAAGGACTGTCTTTTCAACCACGAGGAGAACAAAAGACAGGATGCCCTGTAGACTCTTAAACTTCATGGCAGCTGATGCTGCCAGCAGTTGAAACTGCTAACCCCACTTCACTGAGGGCCAGAGTAACTGTGCTGACCGCAGTGAAGTCAGCTGTGCACCTCTCAGGGACTGAGATAAGCATCTCTGCTCTCAGCAGGTCTCTGATTCACCTGTGCAATCAGAGGAAGGTGCTACAAAGCAGAGGTGCATCACACCCCAGGTCACCTCGTCTGAGCTGCAATACAGGGTTTGCAGAAACGGCTGGAGAAGAAAAGCTTAAAGAGAGCCAGGGGAGTTTAAGAAAATAAAGCCCCAAAGTTTTTAACAGGCTTTGTCTCTGCCTTGATGTTTCTGTGTGCTGCTGACCCTGAAGCCCGGGAAAATTGAGCACAACCAGACCTGCAACCGTGGCTCCTGTCACACGTGCCCTCCTGGCAGCCCCGTTCAGTTCCAGCTCCAGACGTGACACAGCAGGCGTGAGTTCTTTAAAAGCAAGCCTCTCCTACTGGAGGTGGAAAAATGAAATGCCAGCTTAATTAACCTGCCACTTGTGTACATACTGCTAATGCTTACTCTGGAAAGCATTTCAGTACAATTGCAGGCATGTAATCTGTTTTCTGCACTCTGAACTCAGATTGTATTTTAACCATCGAGGCCTGATCCAGAGTCTGTGGAAGTCAGCAAGCACCTTTCTATTGCCTCTGAGGATCTGGGGCCCACTGCCTGACACTGATCTCAGAGCACAGGTGTAAAGGCAGAGTAAATACAGTGTAAAACCCCCTTGCAGTCACAGGTTATCCAACTTTATACCAGTGCAACAGAGAGCTGAATTTGGCACAGATCCATTTGCTTTGGATGTCTCAGTGTGTGACTCTGCTCCTTGTCAGCTCTGATTAGACACACAGGCTCACTGGAGACTCCCCTTGGAATGGGGGTGCTGCTAATGATACCACAAATCCCTTTTTATGTAATTTATTTATACAGTCTCAGGCACTGGGTACTAAATGTCATCAGGGAACAGCTATAAATCACTGCTATGAAATCCACTGTAGACATTAACAAAAAATAAAACTCCTACTCATTTTATTGAGGCTTTAAAAACAAGATCAAGAGAACTGAATATCACCCCAAAACACAGGCAGTTGTGGAAAGAAAAATAACCCAAATGGCAACTCTCAGGCTCCCTCCCCAGATGGTGGATTTAGAAGTGGTGTATAATTGCCTGTTAACTGCTACATATTGCACGAGGGGAAATTACACCCTCACATCCCTGCGTTTTCCTCTTCCCACTGCTGGCTGTGAGGAATCTGGGCTGGGAGAAGGGGCTGATGATGTGACTCATATTACTTCATGCACTAATCTTAGTTTCCCAGTTTCTCAGGAAAATCACTCAAGGATGAATGAACCCTCTTCTATAAGGATATAAGGTGACAAGCTATAGGCACAAGTGAGGTTCAGGTTTCACACCTTTCCTTTGTCCTGGTTGGGATAATTTGGAGTTGGGATATAGACAGTCTTTTCAAAAGTTTCCTGTAAGTTCGTACTAAGCTTAGGATGAAAATGATGCTAAGAATTGCCTGTTCCAAAG